AAATATGGCCACAAATTCTCTACAGACCCTCCCAGCAGAAGATGGCATCTTTCCCACTTCCCTAGATCCCACAGCCAGCCGACACGCTCATCCACGTCACTGATACCGCAATAGCCTCCTCATATTCTCACGTTCACATTCTCTCTGCCCCGCCCCTGGCGATGTGCACACAGGAGCTCAGATGACCTGAAACGTAAGTCAGATCGTGTCATGCATCATCCTATGCCCCTCCTCACAGCGCCGTGCCTGCCTAGCCAGCAACAGCGAGACCACACCACCTGGCTCCCTGTCACCTCTCTGCCCCCTCTCCTTGTTCACACTGCTCCAGCCTCACATCTGGGATTGTGACCCTGCTACCACACAACTGGTCATTTGGAGCAGAAAGCCAAGGTAGAACTTGAGTTGGAAAGCTTATGAGGTTGAAGTTTCGCTTTAAGATAAACACTGAAGTGTTTCGCAGAAGCTAGGTGAGACGGAAAGCTAAAACCTGGGGAAAGGAGTTTTTCTAAGAAATCGTGATGGTGGCAGCATCATGGAGGAGGGGTCTGGGGAAATGCAGAGTGTCTAGAGAAGGGCAAGTGGTCAGAAACCTCGGCTGTCACCCAGCAACTGGAAGGTGAACAGGGTGAGGCGGTCACCAATCAGGCCGCTGCAGTGACATTTGCTTGTATGTCTTAATTTTCCCTTGATTATACCCCTCTGATCCTCCATTAGATATAAGTTTCTCAGGAGGGAAGGACTGTGTCACGTTCATCTTTGTAGCTCCCTGTCTCCCAATCCGTGCTGTGCATAAAGATGGCAGAGAAAGTGTTTGGTGAACGTCATGAGTCCTTCCCAGCATCCCAAGTTTCCTCAAGAGAACTCTTCCTTCCCCACTCTCAATCCCTGTGTTCCACGTAGACGTGATTCCCTCCCTGGCTGCAGGGCTGGGTATGTGGCTCAGGCCCAGCCAAGCAGAACATCACCTTCTCCTGACCGCAGTGACTGGTGGCCATTCCAGAACCAGAGAGACAAAAGAGACAGAAGTAAAGAGAAGGGCAAATGCTTTTTCTCCTAGGGCTGCAAATAGTAAGGATGCTGCAACCCCAAAGCTGCTGAAGGTTTAAAATTAGGCCAACATATTGGAAGACAGAGACAAAAAATATGGGAGGGAGGTCAAATCATGATGACCAAGGTTTAAGCCCTGGGTCCAGCTATGTCTGAAGCTATGTCTGAAACCATTTACGTCATTAGATTCTTGAGTCATCTGAGCACATAAATTCCATTTCTTGCCTAAGGCAATTAGAGTTGTGTTATCTGTCACTTGCATTCAAAAGGGTCCTGATAGACCAAGGAATGAATGGTCCAGCAACTCTACCAGAAAACTTGTGTAGCAGAAAGGAAAGAACTCTATACCAGGAGTCAGGATAGTATTAATATCTTGCCATTACTAACTACATGACATTGGACAAGTTTCCTAATGTCTTTGAATTTCATTTTAGAACTCTAATATCATTCACTTATTCAAGAAATATTTATTAGCATTTGTCATGCCAGGTACTCTGCTAGGTGTTAGCAGTGCTATGGTAACAAGACCCTCATCGTTCTTGTTCTCATGAAATTAAAAATTAAGTTCAGTTCTAGAAAAATCAAGTTTCATTTTTGTACATCTGGTTTTGTCACTGTAAAATCTGTTCACACTATGAGTCTCTAGCACTTGATAACTGGTAGCTATTATTATTCCTTCAGCGCTTTGTCAGCTAATATTGTAGGGTTAGCTAGAGGAGGGGCAAGAAACACAGCCTCATATAATGGGCGAGGAGGCTACTACAGGCTTCACCGCCTTCCCAGCACTCAAGGCCAATTAGCAGTAATGTTTATGGGCCTAATCACACATGACACTGAGCTAGAGGGTGTAACAAGAGCCCGGCATGGGCCTGGGTTCAATCCTCTGGGACTTTTAACTCTAAGAATAGCCAACGTGCCACCAAGTACATTTTTTTCCCAGCCTCTGGCAAAGAAGCTTTTCTGAGTTAAATATGCTCATCAGCTCCCCAGAATCAGGCTTAGAAACAGAGCTACTTAAACTTGGATCTCTTTCAGTTCTCGTTATACGGAGCTAATAATGCCTGCTACATTTGGATTTTCATTTTTAAAGGGAATTCATAGCTTGGGCTGAGGTGGCAGAATGTCAGAAATAAATCCCACAAAAGAGGGTGGGCTTGGCAGGCCCAGGATAACCAGAGTCCTAGCCTACCTTCTATTCTTTGATTTATTCACTCATTTAACAAATATTTATCAACTGTCCACGCTGCACCAGGCGCCATGCTGGGTATGGCAGCAAACCAGAAACTGGGCCATCACAGAGCAGTAGCTGGCTCATAAGAGGGCAACCCCCAGAGGGAAAAGGCCCAGACTCAAATATTTAAACACAAGCCCACTCCTATATACCAGGTGAGCCCACCTGACTAAGCTCAGCCAGGTGTTAATAAATCAGCCTCTACTAATAAATCAGTTCATGTGCTCTATTCTAAATACAGCATAGGTTCTCACCTGTTCATTATTATTGCTGTATTTAATAACCTCAAAACTTAGTGATTTGGTACTTAATGCCACTAAACTGAACTCTTAAATGGTAAATTTTATGTTACAGATATTTTGCCATGACAAAACAATTATGGAAGGATAAAAAAAACTTAGTGGTTTTAAACAACCATTTTACTAAGCTCATGGATTCTGGGGCTCAGAGCTTTGGTCAGGGCACAGTGGGGATGGCTTGTCTTTGCTCCATGGTGGCTGGGTCTCAGCTGGGA